CTCCCAGCTGCTCCTTTAGAATTGCGATTTGGATGGGGACGTCCAAACACGCGCACTTGATTGCTTTCCAAACGATCAGGTGACCAGGTGCTTCTACTAGCGGTGGACGAAGATGGGTCCAAAAACCACAAAAAAAACAGAGCTGCCACGAAACAGAATCGGAAGCAACTTCAAAACCAAAAGGCAAAGCCTTGATTCCCTACAATACTGACAACAGAGTCAATGCCAAGCATGTTTATGCCGGGGGTTTGACGACTCTTTTTGGGCAAAGAATGGGGACCCAGCTGCTAGTATGGAGATCCTCGTTTTCCTGTGCATGTCCACGTGAAAAGTGTAAAAACCCTTGTCACACTCAATTCCAAGCAATTCCCGATCCATTTGCTTCTGTTCGGCAAACCGTCCAAGTACCAGAAGGGGTGGTTTCAGGAACATGTTGGCTTCTGCCCCTAGACGCCCCCCCCCCCAGACCCCCCCCTTGTTTTGCGATTCCCCGCCGATGAGGCGAGAGCTTATCTTGCACCTGAATCGACTCCAGGCGCCCGGCTACAGCTCGGCGCCAGCTCGTCTCTTGGAGAAGCTGCGACCGATGCAATGGTACAGTCTGCGTTTAGCGCATCTCAGGGCTGAGAAGGTGGCCCCGTTTTGGAGATCCAAGGCCACATTTTGTTGTCCCAAACGGGGCCGCTCTCGATCTGACAGCTAAACATATTGTCTCGGTCAGAAACTAATATTGGATGGTGGGATCCAAGCTGAACCGAGAACCTCATCGCATCTACTCCTGCCGTTTCGTGTAATTATCCCGTGAATATAGTACATTGGAAACAATCACCTGTTGGATGGCATTTGCGGAGAAACAACTCTGGGGTTGCCCAACGAATCTTTGCAAAGGCGCACGCACGCACGCACGCACGCACACTCGCACACTCGCACACTCACACGCGCTTGCACGCGCACACGCTTACGCTTACGCACAAACAAACAAACAAACAAGCAAGCAAACAAACAAACAAACAAACAATCAAACAAACAAACAAACAAACAAACAAACAAACAAAGAAACGAATAAACCAAGCAAGCAAGCAAGCAAACAAACAAGCAAACAAACCAACAAACCAACAAACAACCAAAGATAAAACAAACAAAAAAACAAAAAACACGCAAGCAATCAATCAAAGAAACGAGGAAACAAAGGCACAAAGAAACAAAGATAAAAACAGGAACTAAGACACACAGAAATCAAGAAACAGAGATACAAGGCAACAAATAAGCAAAGACACAAAGAAACAAACAAACAAACAAAACAACAAAATCAAACAAACACACACACACACACATACAAACAAACACTCAAACTCACAAACACTCATTAGAAAACAAACACGTAAACAAATAGACAAACACACAAACAAACAAACAAACAAACAAACAAACAAACAAGAAAACACGCAAACAAGCAAACCAACCCGCAAACACACAAACACGCAAACACACACACACACACACGCAAAGAAACAAAGAAATCAAAAAACAAAGATACAAGGAAACAAAGAATCAAAAAAACAAACACACGAAGACATAATCAAACAATAAAACAACCACATAGGCATGCACACACACGCGCGCACACACACACGCACACGCAAAAACAAAAAACACACAAACACAGACACAGACACAGACACAGACACAGACACAGACACAGACACAGACACAGACACACACACACACACACACACAAGACCCACACACACACAGACAGACACACTGACACACACACACAGACACAAACACAAACACACACACACACACACACAGACTCACAGACACCGACAGACACGCAGACACACGCAGAGACACACACACACACACACACACGCACAGACAGACACGCAGACACACGCACAGACGAGACACACACACACACAGACACACAGACTGACAGACACAGACGCACACAGACACACACACACACACACAGAGAGACACACGCACAGAGACACACATGGGTGCCGTTGTTGTTGGCCCTCAACTTCCCAAGCAGGAGAAGATTGGCTCAAAAGCTTACCCTCCTAGATTCCAGGAGGGGAAACCTTCCAGCAGTAAAACCTAGAATCTGGAAGGATTCGGCTAGACCTTCGGGGCGATTTGCTAGAACATGGCCCCTCATTGCAAATCCCTGGAATCATGCTAACAGGGATCCCAAACTTTTGAAGCTCAGCTTCTGATTGCCCGGCCCTTCCAAAGGCCAGGTGAGCCTCATCGCCCTGAACCCAACCCATGGGTGCCTTCGACGACTCCAATTCTTTACCAGGCTCCATTTTGGGCAGACCATTTTCGTACCGTTTGGATCAGCCACTGCCCCCGTAGACTGCGAGATTCGGTATGCAGTATGTCGATGGCCGAATTGCGACCAAACCAACGCAGGCTGCCCTGCCACTCGCTAGCATGAGGCCAAGTACATTTGGCGGGTGAGACGTTGGACCGTTGCGCAAGCGCTTCCGTCATAGGCAACACACCCGGAAACGAGGCTGGTGCATACCCAGGCGAAGCATCTGCTCTGCAGATGTAAACTCTCATGCTCACGAGCATTGCTCGGGCTGTTCTACGTCAAAACATGCAGTCGCGAGGCTATCTCAGACGTCAGGCCCGAAACAAACAGCTCGCCAGCTGAAGCTGAGGGAAACCCTTGTCACCAAGGGCTCTCAGGCGACCGTAATCCCGCCCTGCATGGTGGTGACCCGCCCGACGGCCCTGGATTCAGGTTCTCATGCCGTGGGGTCCCCACGCTGCATCCAAACGGCAAAAAAGCACGGCCTTGTTGTAAGCAACGAAGGATGCAGGTCTGGCAGCTGCTCATGATGACGATGCTGATGGTAGTGGTGATGGTGATGGTGACGGTGACGGTGAGGGTGAGGGTGACGGTGACGGTGAGGGTGAGGGTGAGGGTGATGGTGATGGTGATGGTGACAGTGACGGTGAGGGTGACGGTGACGGTAAGGGTGATGGTGATGGTGACGGTGACGGTGACGGTGACGGTGAGGGTGACGGTGACGGTGAGGGTGACGGTGAGGGTGATGGTGACGGTGACGGTGACGGTGAGGGTGACGGTGACGGTGAGGGTGAGGGTGATGGTGATGCTGATGAGGATGAGGATGATGATCATCATGATGATGATGGTGATGGCGATGGGGATCATGAGGAGCATATTGCGTGTTGCTATTGTAGTGTTTGCACGTGAGAAACCATGTCCTCTTCATCCAAGGAATCGGAAGTTCCTGGCTCTGATATTCTACATTGTGATTAGGGTGTCGTTCCCGTCTTCTGTCTTCCCCTTGTCCAGTGCAAAACAAATAGCATGCTGGTTCTCCTGCTGCCCGGGGGTTAGGTGTGCGCAGACGCACAAAAGGCATATCCGGAAGGATATCCGGCAGGCCCAAGAAAGCAAGAAAGCAATTCATCTACACGAATTGCAGTAATTCACCTAACCAACTGGAAATGAGGTGTCCCTTTAAACAACTCTATTCATCACGGCGACTGTGTCTTTCCCCCTAAGGGAGCTCAGTATTTGTGCAGCAGTTTTTACTTCCCCCGTCAAATGCCAAGATATCTGCAAAGGTAAAGCCCGTCTCATGTCTCTCTCTGGTTCTTTTGCGGGGACCCCACAAAATGCAAGACCCATCTATATATATATATATATGTGTGTACCCATGCATTGTCGATAGATCACCCAAAGCAAGTCTGCGTTCTCTTCACCGGGCTGTCCTCAGATCTGCTAAAAGTTCAGCTTGTAGCGGGTTGAATGGAACCAGCTAAAGCCTAAAACCCTAAAGCGAAACCAACCTTTTCGTGTCTTGCGATGAAGCATCTCAGGCTGTGGGAAGCTCAAAGGGCCGTTGCCTACTCACAGTACCCTATCCCACCAGCAATTATTTGGGACGCATGCCACAACTTTCAACATGAAAAACAATTTGGAACGGAAGCTGTCCACGCCCTGTTTGGGAGGGGCAGCATACAGTTGTGCCATAAAACACTAATGGGATCCGCAAGGAAATTGGGGGAACTCCCGAACTGAGAAAGATCTGAAGTTCCGGGTGACAGCTGTTGCAAAGCGCTCGTGCCTGCCAAATCCGCTGAAACTCCGGGTGCTCCTGCTTACCGTTGTGGGAACCCACACCAAGATTGTCCAAATTCCCGATGAAAGGGTCAACCATTCTAAAACTCCTACACTTAACCACCATGCCTTTGGGGGCGCGTGCCCAAAATTTGTACGTATCCCTATGTCAAATGTAAGGAAATAGTTGGTGGGGGCACTTCTGGAGCATGTGAACATGCAACCCAACCAGATTGGCTAGCTGGGAGTAACGCCAAGCTTAGTTGCCCAAAGGACCCAGAAAGAAAAGGTTCACCTTTTGGGGTGACAAAAAATGCACAAAGTCCCGCCTCCATTTGCTTAAGTCCCCTGCTTCCGGTAGTGAAATCGATTCCCCTTAAAACCAACAGGGGAAATGTAAATATATATATATATATAATCTAAACCAAATGGACGCCACAGCAAACCCAGCCGTATCGCCATGAGTCGGATTGCCGCGAACGCCGAGTGCCGAGGCACTGCGAGCTGCGACCAAACCAGTAGGGCTGCCTCTGCGCGGATTCTGGGGGGTTCATTTCTTCCTCTTTTTTTTCCGTATAGGTCCTTTTCATGGGGTGACCTTTGTGGGAACCCACCCAAAAAAAAAAGCAGAAAAGGGGTGACCTTTGTGGGAACCCACCCAAAAAAAAGCAGAAAAGCATGACTTTCACATCGGAAAAGTTATTACTACTGCGGATGAACGAAATCCGGTCACACCACTTTGAAACCATATTTGCGGCGAATCATCATTCCAGGGTTTCTTAGGTGGTGCAGGATTTCATCCATCCACAGTAGTAATCACTTTTCCCACGTGAAAGTCATGTGTTTTTTCTTTTTTGCGGTGGGTTCCGAAAAAAGATCACCCTATGTAAAGGACCTCTTGATCAACCCTGTGTCTGGCTCAATGCTGCAGGATGGAGAGAAGGATCCCCTGGATGCGTGCTGAATCAGTGAATAGGTCAACATACGGGTCACGGGGGGTCTGGAAAAGACAAGCGCTTGGAGAAAAAAAGGGTTCTCTGAAAAAAAATGATCATGGCCTCAACTTGTCCGAATCCAAGTTTGCAGGCGCCGGACATCCTCCCCAACATGGAAGCTGACTGGAGGTTCCTGAAAAAAGCCCCTTGGTCAAAGAACCTGGCAAGGTTCACTCCATGGTGACTGGCGCAGTCGCTAAGGTCCCGCCATGGCCACTTGGCTTCATGTCGAAATTTCGAAGTTCACCCTGTGCAACCTCCAGGCGTTGCTTCCGGTGAAAAAGCCAAAGTCACCTCCCTTCCATTTCCTAAAGATGCAAAATCACAGCATCTTTGCCTGAACCTGTCACAACGCCAACACAATGTCCGGGGAAAACCATAGGAACAACTGGAAAGCACCCCAAGCAAAAAGCTACCGCCGGCCAAGCGGGCTGGAGAGGTGGTATGCAGGGCAGGGAGCAAAAGAGCCGGTCTGGGCTGTTCAAAATGGAGGGTTGGCCCATCCTAATCCATAATCCCTATAGGGGAGCCACCACAAAGGGGACCCCTTGCGGAACCCAAGGTAAGGATTAAGGATTACCTTTGGACACCCCAGCCTGTAAAACACATGAACTACCCCTCACGTTTTCAATCTTTATAAAGCCATGCCAGCATTGCTCTCTGAAAATGGCACAAGAGTTTAACAGGCCGAAATTCCGACCAAGAGTGCACATGGGGTAGAACCGCTAACCAACGCATTTCAAGCAACAGCCAGCACCTAACAGCCAGAACGGAGGGCATACAATTCACTGGAATCAACCTTGCTCAAACGAGCGCCCAGCAAAATGCGTCCTCAATCGGCAATAACTACGTGCGCATTGCTTGAGCAGAAGAGTCAGGCACCCATTTTGTCAACCTGCCCCAGTCTTTCGCAACCAAACCTCGCCTTTGCATCCCACGGGTCCAACCACCTCAAAACTGGGCTGGCCTCAAAATGGAAACTACCACTAAACACTAAAAGGCGAAAAGGCTAAGGAACCGGATGGCTGGGAGCCACCAAGAAAAGACCGCCACCGACGCGCTTGACGCGCTTGACGTGCGGGCGCGTAGAAGACGCGCCTGTAGGCTTGCGCCATGGCGGATTGCATGTCCACCCCCAGCTGGTTGGCCACAAAGTTCAGCTCGCGGTGCAGTGCCCTCGAACAAAAAAGAACCGCTAAAACTATTTGGGAGTGGGTCGAAACAAGGTACTCGAAATGGAACCCTGGCAAATGGAAACATGGACTAAAACCTGCGGTCCCCTGGGGCTCTAATTTTGACCCATACCCATTTATGTATTTTACGACGACATAAGCATGAAAGAAAAAAAATATTCAAGAAAAGATTACTTTTGAGCCTATGTTTCTTAACCAAAGTAGAAACTTTAGAACACTTATCAAAGTAAGGGCCGGCTGGCCAGCAGCGTCGGAAAAAAAAAGAGGCTTCTCTGGTACAGAGAAGAACACAGAGCAAGACTCTGGAACACATCTATCCCCGGTTGAGATGCCATCATTAAAGCAATGGAGCTTTACCTTGAACACCAACAGTGGAAAATATCAAAAATGGTCAATCAGCAAATGGAAGGAGTACGTGCAATGCAAGTGGCTGTCCATGATTCTAGGGGTTGATTCCCCATTTTTTTCAACCATCGTTCTTTTCAAAAATCGGCTGTTTCCCCTGGGTTTTTGATGGTCTCCTGAAAAAAAGAATCCCTGGACAGAATGGGGAAGGTACCCCTAGAATGATGTTCGAAGCAGGTGCCTTTGAACTGGATTGAATTCAAGACATCCTTCTGCATGCTGCTGGCCTTTTCAACCACCTGTTTGCTTCGAGTTACAGAAGGCGAAAGAACACATTTAGGCCCCGGTGGTTTTGAATGACAACGGATATGTGTCTGCGCTGTCCTCAAATCCCCTGCTAAAAGTTTAACATTTTGTGGGTTGAATGGAAACCCCCACTAAACCAACCAAAACCTAAAACCCTAAACACCTAAAAGGATGGCAGGGATTCACCAAAGTAAATAAACTATTTCAAAGCCGCTTTGGCCAAAACAACAGCCCAGGCCAACCGCAGGAATCGGTTACTCAGCTAAGTCTACTGGCTCAAAAGGGACCCCATCTACAAGTAACTGTTTGAAGGGAATCCGGTATTGCCAAAGAAAACGGGTGTGCCACAAGAGAAAAAATGGTCGCATTGGGTCCCGTTTCTCGAACAGGTCCGTACTACAGTAAGAGGGCGAACGTCGGCATTCATTGCATAAGATCCTTGCTTAAATTACAAGGTCTTAAGAGGCGACCACTGAGGATATCTTCTTTTTAGGTCGTAAACAGTATATGTGCTGGCCAGTTCTCAGTTCAACTTAAGCCCGACGTTGCGTCCTCGCTCCACCAGCCCGCAGGCAGGGTTTTCATTCACCCGCATCATAGTAATATGCGCAATGTACATGTACTAGGTCGTCCAGTAGAGAGGTTAGAACAAAGGTACCCTTCTTTTCTCTGTAGTCTATTTTAGTAATTCGGGGAACCCTCCCAAAAAAAGGGTAAAAGGGCACTACTGGGGGACCTAGTGTACATCCACAACTATGCATATGTGTTTGTGAAGTTGCATAACGCATAAAAACACGTGTGCATACACATCTGGAATGTGCGTGTGCGTATCAGGTGTGTGTGTGTGTGTGTCGTCCATCGGTCCCCTCCGTACATTGTGTCTGTGTCTGTGTCTCGGTCTCTGTCTGGTGCAACGCAACGAAACATACCGCGACGTGCCGAAACGTAACGATCTAATCTGAAGTCACATTTAGTAAAATCGCTTCTACAATTATTGCAAGACAGGCAATAGTATGTCTTGTCATGTCATTCAATACAATGCAATGCAACGCAACGCGAGGCAACGCAATGCAACGCAATTCCAAACCACACAATACAATGTATCCAGTATCCAAGTGTGTAGGCTGTGTCGGTCTGCGTTGTATGAAACACAAGACGTACAAAGTCTTCGACACCAACATGCACCGTCCACCTGAAGTCTGCCCCGTGCCCAAGGCAAACTTTTAACGGGGCTCCCTATGGCGCCCGCGAATAAACGCCTGGATGTGTAAATAGGTCAACTGGTCAGCCCGGCTAGCGCTACACAACCTTAAGCGTAAGCCGGTGGATTAAACTGGGTTGCTTTCTGCTCCCCTGCTAAAAGTGTTTAACTTTTAGTGGTTTAATACGGAAAACCCGATGAGTTGGCAAAGTTCTCAAGTCTGGCAACATGCAAAGTAAATATGCATCATGCTTCACCTCGGATGCCTGCAGCCTCAGCCCGGCCTCGGATCTTTCCCCCTTAAAACCTCACCCCTACCCGTGCCTGAACTTCCGGAGGAACAAAAACCTCCGACACTTTTGTTCACCCCCTACATCATGGAGCATTTCGGCCCATCTTCTCGGGATTTTTGTTTTTCCCCAGAACGGCGAAACAACTCCTTGGGAGGTTTCCGGGACCCAAAAAGCAGATGCGGAGCCCCGGACATCCGGATCTGATGGGCCTGCACTGGTGCATGATGGCATGGACGTCAATGCTGCGCGCAGCTCCTTTGAGCTTGGCGCAGCCATCCAGAAACTCCTGGATGCTCACCTGTCGATGAAAAAACGGCTAATGGTGAACCCCATATGTCTGTGGGTCAAGAATAGGTACCCAAATTGGAACCCTGGTAAATGGAAACATGGACTAAAACCCGCGGTCCCCTGGTTTAATTTTGACCCATACACATATTAATCAACAAACAAGTTTATTAGGAGGTTGGGTGCCTCTGGTGAAATATAATATAGGGAATTGGGCCACTAGGCCACTTTTGAAGGGGCCTCGTTTTAATACAATGGGAATATGGGGTCAACATTGTATGCGAAAGGGAGGACCCCCCAAGATGATTGGAGTCTTTGGGTGTCCCGGAAACAAACTGGCGATAGACAGACAAAGGGCTTCCCCAACAGGAAAGTAGCCTGCAAAACCTCCAGTCAGCTTTCGTGATTGAAGGCAGGAACCCCTCTGGGTCGGTGTCCTTTAGATTTCCCTTGACAGCCAAAAGGGGCTGGCCTATTTTGAAAGGGCCCGGGCGATTATTTCACAGGACCCCAACGTTTCGCCATACCGCGTATCTGACAGTCACCATTTGCCGCGCATCATGTTAGTGCTTGTGGGGGCAGGGTTCAATAACCCCAGGTGGCTTGTTGTCCTTTTGGTTTACTGGGAAAAAAACCAACCAAGTCACACACCTTTCGGTTCTGCTTCAAGAAAGCGACGCATGATGTGTCGTGTCTCTTGAGGTACCGTACCGTATTGAAACACCACCAGCAAGGGGCTCTCGTCTGACCTTCCAACCCCAGCAACGCCGTTGACGTGGTGCCAATACGTGAACAAACATCCGTTCACATTTTCCGGACCTGTGCCCCAAGTTGGTGCTGCTACTAAGAGGCTTTCCTTTCACCACAAAACCATCGGGGGCCCTTCGGCCCAGGTCCGGGGGCGCGCAAGGCGCGCCTCTCCAGACTCGTCGTCATCCAGCAGGTGGAAGATCTGGTGCGCGTTCACTTCATCAAAGCCCAGTACCTTGGCGACTTCAGATCGCAAGCTCTCCGTGGTTGAGGGGAAAGAGGAGGGGAAAGAAAAGTTGGAGAGATGGGAAAAAGGAAAGAACCAAGTCTGTCTCAAAATGGCGGATTACCGTTGGGCTGAATTTACGGCAAAACTGGAAAGGAAACCAACTGCGCGGAGGGTTCCTGATTTGGAGACACACCCAAGCATGGGAAAAAAAGGCACCAAGCTAAGCAAAGAAGACAAGCGAGGGAGGAGAGCGGAAACGTTGGAAATCAAACTGTCAACAGGATTGGCTTTGGACTGCGGCACATGTTGCAATAAGGAAACAGCCACCCCACTTAGATCTGGCCACACAGAACTTCGATACAACCGGCACAACGAATTGACGTGGCGCCCCACGAATTGCAGGCCCAAGTTTTCCCAAATGCGAACTCTTCCCTGAGCCGCTTGAGCAACTAGTGGAAAAAAACCGGCTCATAACAGGACAACCAAACCAGTTCGAACACGCTCAAATGATCAGAAAGCAGTTCCTGCTGATTCTTTCCAGCTCTAAAGAGCCAAGTGAAGCACAGGATGTGGGAGGTTACCACGTCAAATTATTGGCCGAGCTTTGCGGGGTGTTTGATTCCCACACTGGCGGATTCCCCGCTTCGTCCGCTGCCTCTTTGGAGTCTTCTGTTGCTGCGTAAGCGCAACGGCAGCGAATGGCAGCGACCCTCTTTCAAGACTCCAACACTGCGATCGTTGCTGGAGCCAGATTGCAGGGAACTATTCGAGGAACAGGGTGGGCTTGATATTCCATCTTTGGAATCCACATGTTTGCCCCAAGGATGTTCAATCCAGGACCTGCCTGCTCAACAAGCATGTGGTCTCGACCACTTCTCAATTTAAAAGACTAAAAGGTAAAAACCTTCACTTCGCTTTTGTTTTTCCTCACTTGCTCAGTGGATTGCCGCACAAACTTGCCGTCCAAACTTGTTCTTTGCCACTCAATTCGTCTTCTCAAAAAATATGATGAAGTCCAGGAACTTGGGAAGTTAATTTCCCACTCTTGCTTTACGCAAGTCCGCCCATACGGCCGTGTTCTCCGTTTCCTGGCCCGGATGCTGCAAAGTAGGCTGCCAGTGTAGGGTCCTGCGCACGGCGCGGATATCTTTCGAAATCAAACCGCGAGAGACGCGCGGTCCGCTTCAAAAAGCACCCGAGTATGAAAGCAGCCCGTGGCTCGGTTCTGCTCTGTCTTTGGCCAAGGGGAAGGGGTCCTGTCCAGTCCTTGGGAGATTCTGTCTCATCTGGCCATGGGTACCCCCAGTGAACATCCCCATCCCCACTAAAATAGACTAAAATGGGCGGTGCAGCTACCCCAACATGGAACCATTGGTTTTGACCCACAGCCATCTATAAAAGAGCTGCTCAATGTTGACCATGGCATCAACCACCAAGCAACATGTGTGGGCCAAGTGCCAAGTGACATCGGAGGCTCAGCGAGTTTGCACTATGGGCGGACACCCAAATATCAACAAAGATGCCCCCCCTTAAGTCATTGTGCATATGCTGAGTCATTGCCTGTATACTGAGACGTCTCTGCACTCGCCGTTCTCTTGAAACCTATTGTTCATCCCATCCCATCGCATCCCATACATCCCATCCAGGTTAAAAACGCCCGTTGGACAACTATCCACAGAACAACCCTCCGCAGGAAAGCAATCCTTCGAACGACCTGCATGCATTTTGGTCCTGGAGCATTATTCTGATCTCTTCTAGATGGATGGAGCCATTGCCGTCGGTGTCCAGGGCCTCCAGGAGGCAAAAAGAGCAAAAAAGCGAAACTTGCAAAACAGAAAATGCTGAAACATGTCAAAACCAGGGCCCCTCCAGATGCTTGGGTTCGTGTTGGCTTACTCTCATGCAAAAAAAACAATCGGAACCCCTAATTGATTCTCTTCAGGGAGAAACAAATGCGGCCACTACAGGAAGCGCGATTCTGGATCATGTTGAAACATGTTTAACTTGTGGCAAATGGAGCCGCTTGGCAAAGCTTTCTCAGTCAGGAAACCGGTTCCGGCAAGGAGTTGCCGCTTGATATTGAACCCTCCCCCCGCACACATGATATCGCCTCACACCTTATCTACATGCACTTGCATGTGTAGTACTAGACATATATATATATATATATATCATATATATATATATACAAGGACGGCATGAAGGCATTACATCGAAAATTGGAGCCTTCTGAAGTGTCTGGACTATATACAACTGGCTCCCGCAGAAGGCCCCGCGCTCGCTCGTTTCCGCCGCTTCCAGGCCTCGAAGAAGTCCTTCAAAGATCGCAGGAAGGAGTCCTTGCGTAGAGACTTTCGAAGAAGGGTACCAACTTTTTCTTGTTCGGTTTTGTCTGTTTCAAACATTTTAGTAGGGGAACCCTCCCAACAACAAAAGGTGAGAAAGGGCAGCACTGGGGGACCTAGCACAAATTCACAGGCGATGAAAAAAACATCTCTGTTGTGTTGGTTGGTTGGTTGGTTGGTTGGTTGGTTGGCTGGCTGGCTGGCTGGCTGGCTGGCTGGCTGGCTGGCTGGCTGGCTGGCTGGCTGGCTGGTGCTGACAGGACACCCGGGCGATCTTACAGGGAAACCGCCCAAACAAAAAGGGAATCCTCTCTTCTTTGGGCTGGGTGATGTCAAGAGAAACCTACCCAACGCACAACAAATTATTCAGTTGGGATCTCAAACAAAAACACCTGAACTGGTCGATGAGCAACATATTGAAATGAACTAGCACGTCTCTTGCACTAGTGCCTTTTTTATTTTAAAGGAAAGCCCGTCCCGCATTAAACAGCCTTTTCTGGTGCTTCTTAAGCTGGTGATTCTTAAGCAAATGCCAACCCAACCTGCAAACACAGCAACCTGTCTTGGCTGGCTGGCTTCAAAAGAAAACCCACCTAGCAGGATAAGCGTACACACATTGTTAGAGTTGAGACAAGTATAGAGGCAAGGCAGCTGGAATAATAATAATAATAATAAAACTCTGCTCAAGCCACCTGAGCTGAAGTAATAACCAAGAATCTGCTAGGATCATTTGATTTTGAAGGGAAACCCGTCCATGTGGCTTCAACCCGTAGACCCAAATACGTGAGATCATGTCTCCTTCCCGGTTCGCTGAGCCCCCAGAAAGAACCTCTTTTTGGGTTGCCCCATGTACCGAAACCAATCCACATACAAAGTGCGACAGAAACAAGAAAAAGATGGTTAGTTGACTATAAAGGGACATCCAACAGACACTCCTTTGGGCCGATGAACTTTTAAGGGAAGCCAAGCTCGCAAATAAACACAACAACCCACACAACCTGGCACAAGACAATAGAGAAGCAAAGAAGTCAGCAAAGAAGCACAAAACACCCTATACTTGGTGGCAGTTCCCCCCCAGCCGAAAACTATTTATAACAGCGGGGAGGGCTGGGCTTTGATGATTTCTTGGTAAGGGATGTAAGGGAAACCAAGGACGCAAAAAAAACGGCACCTTTTGTGTTTTAAGTCTTGCCGGGCGTCTTTCAGCTCCAGCTCGCGTTCGATCTGGATGTCTCGCTGGGAGTTGGTGGTTTGGATGGCCGAGTCGACAAAGACACCTGGATAGGGCAAAGGTGGATGCGGCTGTGGGTCAAAACCTCGGTTGCTTTCTGCTCCCCTGCTAAAAGTTTAACTTTTGGTGGTTTAATACGGAAAACCCATTAGTTGGCAAAAAGTTAAAATCCTAACATCCAAGCAACATGCAACAAAGAAACCCTGTACCCCTGGTGAACATCAAAATAGGTGGAACATGGGTGTTCCGCCCCAAAATGGAGGCAGCGGTTATGACCCATGGCCATGTGAGTTTCTCTCAAACTATCCACTTCCCTCTAATTGGTGGTTCGGAGCCTGTGGTTTGGTGGTTAAGGAGAAATCTCTCATTTGCAAGAACCTAGGCCAATTCGGGGTACCAGAAAAACAGGCGATCCCCCAAGATGTGCTTCGGTTTCCTTTCGGCTTCCTTGAAAAACCATCCAAAAAGGGCAAACAGAGACATGAGACTCATGTGTTCAAATAGGGGCCCACAAAATGGATTGCGGTTCTCTCTTTGGTATCCCTTGAAACCAATGTGAGAAGGGCACCCTCAAAAATAATCACACACACACACACATGCTCTTAATGGACAATGATGGACATGTCCACATGTCAATTTTGGGTCAGTAACTGTCGACTGGATTTGTTCGGCTCCTCAGTGCTTAGACATACACAAATCTAGCAGAGACGGAAAGGCGTAATTCCAGATATGGGGGTGGATGAGAAGGTCGTTTACATGGGATGACCATTGGTTGGAAAAGCACTGAGAATCTAATATTTCCCACATGGAAAAGTTACCCAGGGTCTTTTAGGGCTGAAGGGAATACAGTGCTTGTCCAACAGAATGGTCATCCCATGTAAACGACCTTCTGATCAACCCAGTTCCTTAGCAAGGACATTCATAGAAGAGCCGGAGCTGCCTATAGGGCCGCTTCACGTCGCAAGCAACCAAAGCAAACGACGAAGCAGCAAGCAAAGCAAGCGAGCAAGTGAAGCAAGCGAGCAAGTGAAGCAAGCGAGCAAGTGAAGCAAGCAAGCTAGCAAGCAAGCGAGTGAACGAGCCCCTAGAGCGGGCGGGAGAGCATATCAGCAGACGTGTTCTAGCATGACATGTTCAGAACATAAACACTGCAGAAGGGGACAATTCATCAGGATGCGTCCCCAACAACAAGCACTAAACCACGCGCACGTGCGCATGCGCGCCATGTAGCAAACAAGGGCTTGTGGATCTGAATGACGGTTGATGCATCGTGATGTTTACTTGCATCTCTCCACCCCAGCTGTCTTCTTCCTCCGGCTTCGGCTGCTTAACACTGGTCATCCGTGCCAGATTTGATCGACCTGCCTGAAGTTCACAGTGGGCATCCCTAGCGTATGATGTCTTTTTCCCCCAGAAAGAAAAGCAAGCCCCGCTTTTTTCGAGCGCAGTTGCAGGCAGTCAGCGAAACACCGAGCCGAAGCCGGAAAACGACAGTCCAAGCCTCTTATAGCCGTTCCCTTGCTTTTGTGTTTTTCCAGAAAACCCCCCACACGTTCACCCCGGCCTGTAATCACGTTGAGGACGGAGAAAATGGTGAACATGATGTAGAAGAGCAACAGGCCCGCGGAGAGGTTGTCGTCGATCTCGAAGAGCAGATCACCTTGGGTGACACTCAATCGGCATGGGGGCCACTGAAAGGCTCTCTCTCTCTCTCTGTCCCTGAAGGTTTCAGAAGGATCAAGGTATGCAACAAGCAGGATCGAACATGACATGAAAGCCAATACAAGTTCTGGTTGGAAGGGAGCAGGTCCAACTACCTCTTCCATGGCCAGTGTCTCTTTAAAGGGGTCGGTCCATGGCAACTGGGCTTTTACTGCCCAATTTTGCTCGCTTCTCCCGACAGAGCTTGAACGCCACGCCGGAAGGAACAATCGGATTGCTCACTTGAACTCGCCCACCACCCCCCCAGGTTTGAAGAGGCCAGTTGTTTTTTTATTACGCGTCCCACTCCACCCGTACGGCTCCCCGTCCGGGTTCTCCGCCAGAGTGGCACACCTGGTGCCAGCTGACGCCTCCGAGGATCGAAAGCATCAAGGTGTAGACCGTCTTCCCCAGCGAGCCGAACCTGGGAGATGACGTGTCCACTCGTTGGTTTAGAGGGTCGCTTCTTTATAAGGCTTGACCCCTCAAAATGGCGGTTTCCTTTTGGGCTCCTTTTAAAAACCCGCCAAAAAGGGATATAGCCCTCAACAGAAGGACATCCAATTGGTGTTTGGATTGGGGGTTTGGGAGGTTGAACCCCTCAAACCACCAATTGGAGGGAAGCTGAACTGGTGTGAGGGCATGGTTAAAATGCGGAATTAGACAACACCTGGGCAAGACCAGAGCACGCACCTGTGCGATTGGGCCTCAAATCTCATGTAAGCAACGGACGATGTGTTTTGTTTCGAAGAAGACATATGACAATGTTTTTTGTGCAATGTTCTCACGTCCTCCCTAAACTATCAATAGACTACCAACAATACGGTCAGTTGCGCACGGGTTCAATGGTCAACACAAAACAGCTGCGGAATTGTCCACGTCTCTCTTCCAATGCTGTGATCCTGCGGAAATCAGTTGAGGACCAACTCAGTTCTTTTCAAGCTGAACAATGATCTCAATGTCTCGTTACATGGGAAACACTAAACCTGGCGAGTTTCTCTCATCAAGAAAGACCTTGAATTCCATTGATAAGCTTGCTGCATGCTGTACCTAAGACCTCCAGTAGAGAGGTTAGAATAAGGGTACCCTTTTTCTGTAGTCTATTTTTAGACTTTTAGTGGGGGCACCCTCCCCCAAAAAAAGGGTGAAAAGGGCACTACTGGTGGACCTAGCTACTGCTAACTCAGGAGTTGTTTGTTTTGCAAAGAGCCAGCTGAAAATAGGGATTTGATCCCGCACCCATTCTCGCTTGGCTCCATGAGAATCATCTGCCTGCGCCCCTGCAAAACTGTTTTCACATTTTCTTCCTGCTCTAGAGTCAGCCGCGCTGTGTGAACCAATATTTCAGGTTTCCTTTCAATCAGCATCCGAAAGGGGGGCGACCCATTCTTGCAACCATCCGGATGCCCGTTGGCGTCCCCCAAAACCATAGCTTCGCCTTTTGGTGTCCATTGAATACCACCAAAAGAGGTACCCTCGAAAAAGACGCACGCCCGTGCATTGGCGAAATATTTTTCGCCTTGTCTTTAGAGCTCAACAGGAAGACATTTCGCCAGGGGCGTGAGGGTTAAATCTCGGCCGAAAAAGACACGCAACCTTGGGCGATATTTTTCGCCTGGGGCGTGAGGGTTGAAGGCCCACTGGAGGACTGAGAGGCGTCATTTCGCGTTTCCTCTCGCTAAGTCCACGTGTCGGCCCCACCCCCGGAATGAACAGAGCTTGGTCCAGAACAAGTTTCCCATGACCCTGAGCTTCAAGAGAAAACAGTTGCTTGTGTGTGTGTGTGTTGTTTGTTTTGCTTAAATAAGTTTTTTTTGGGAAGGGGGGGGTTGAAGAGAAAACTAAATCAAATTAAGAGGCAAAGGGCACCACAATCTTCCTCAAGCACGATTTTGGCAATACTGTTCATTCTTTGTTTTTTCTCGAGTTGGTATTCCAACCCGAAAACTGTATAGCAACATATTTTGCTCAGGCAACATTTCCGAGTTGGTATTCCAACCCAAAAACTTCATAGCAAAATACTTTGCTCAGGCAACATTTCCGAGTTGTTCTTCATCCCGAAAACTTCATAGCAAAATACATTGCTCAGGCAACATTTCCGAGTTGGTATTCTAACCTGAAAACTTCCGAGTTGGTATTCCAACCCAGAAACATCATAGCAAACCAACCTGACAAATACATAGCAAAATACGTTGCTCAGGCAACAACAACAGCAAACAGGCACGGTCATCCGACCCATTCGGTGAACAAGGAGTTCTTGACCGGTGCTCTTCGATTTTTGGTTTACTGCTCCCGCCCCTTGCCGGAACCCAATAGATTGTTACCACAAGCGATCACAGGCTTCTCCCCTTTTGAAGGGAATCCGCACATCTGACAGGTTGCTTCCAACGGATTGATCCATATCCAGAGGTGAGCTTGAAAAATCGATGACCCTGAAAAGGACACCTGTGGATGGACGAAATCCACTTGCCACACTTTTGGCACCACCTGAGAAAACCTGGAATGATTCAATTCTCCAACATAAATACCAACACACACGTGGTTCCCACCATGGTTATGTTTTTCTCCAAGTGCTGCGATTTCTTTGGCTTTCGTAACCATCCACGTTGCTCCATATGTGTGTGTGTGTGAGTGTAAGTCAAAACTACACCACAAATCCACAGGTGTTGGTCCATGCTTTCACTTGGGGATCCATGTGGGCACCTATTTTTATGGCCATGGGTCAAAACCCAAATCGGTTCGCCCCCAGTGAACATCAACCAATCCAACCACTAAAACTTAGGTCCTAAAATGGGCGGCGAATTCACCGAAAACCAACCAAAATGTTTGATCCCAGCCACCCACAGCCCTATCTCTCACCCCAACCGCAAGATTTTGGTTGACTTTTGGGATCCATTTGGGCACCTATCTTTGACCATCTCGCTATGCGGTCCCAGCGGCCAAACCTCCAGCTGCTCCTTTAGCTCATGGTTGGTCCCGGCCATCTCCTGAACCCCAGCGGCCCTTGGAAGGGCTGCCTGGACCATAGACGTCCTTTTGGGGGGGGGCCAGGAATCGCCATCTAGTTTGCGACAAAAAACAACCAAAAAAGGGCACCTATGCTTAGGACTCGGAGCCCCCGAAGTGGGCGGCGTTCCTCTTGATTTTGACAGTTCTTTGAGCAGCCCCCCCCAAAAAATAATTCGGTTGCTTTCTGCTCCCCTGCTAAAAGTGACTAACTTTTAGTGGTTTAATACGGAGAACCGGACATGGTTCTCCAAGGGCCTTTGAACCGGAATTCACGGCTCCTGGGCCGGAGGGGTCCCTGTTTCTCCACCTCAAGCGTCTTTTGGACATATAGATGCAACATATATATATATATAGACATTATACATACCGCGGTTCCTTTTGGTTCCGTCCAAGAGATGGGCTGGGGCAAACAAGACATCATTCTTTTGCGCTTGACGTTTCAAACGGAACGTGTCGCTGAACAAGTGCAACACCAGGCGGAATCAGCTAAGACGACTGCGTAGTGATAAATACGTCTTTCCATTTCTCTTGCGGCACCCATGCTGTTTGATGCAAGTCTCAAATACCGTGAACAAAGGTCCATCTCCTGGCATTCATCAAACAGACGCTTGGTAAGCTCAACAGCAGCGCTTGGGGCTTGGAAAAAAAAAAACTGGACAAGGGCCCTAATTGAGACAGACGCAGAAATATTTAAAGAGGGTGACTAAGTTTCATGGCTGGTCTACTTTCCCATCAGGTAAGTTATATGCGAAGTTGATATACAATCATTGCAACACCTGACAAACAAATGCAAGGTACCATCATGGCTGAGCTCATAAAAAATCCCCCCTCCAGGGCTCATCGGGTTAATTTTGCTCAGAAGTGATACAGCCTTCATAGCCCACGCGGCCGAGTCGAGTCTTCCAAGGGCAACGGAGCCCAAAATTGCAGTCCCAGGACCGCCCCAACAAAAGTGTGAACAGGATATATATATATATATATATATATATATATATATCAGGGATCCTTATAATATACACCTGAACATTGCCTTGTAAATGGTGGTGTCCCGTTATTTTGGTGGAAAAAGCCATGTTTCAAATGGTTGCAAAATGTATTTTTTTAAGAAGCCCTGTACATGTGTATATATATATATATATGTATAGTACTGTCCTGGGCAATCAGCCAATCTGAGAGGTTCATGGACAGGCTCACGGCGAACACGTAGACAATGATGCCTCGCCAATCCATCGGTTCTATTTCTTGCAAACGAACTCCCATAAGGTGGGTCAATGCAACCGTTCCTGAGAAAGAGCACTTATGTGATGGCCGTCCAAAATCCTCTGAAAGGGTTGATGACCATGCAGACCCAGCTGGTACTGTCTATGGCCCTTCCGACACTTGACCTCTTGGCACATGAGCCTTCATCAAAGCCCATGCTCTCTTGCAAACTCTGCAATTCGCCTTGGTTGGTTGGACTGCATAGCTATACATGCATCCGCCGGGCTGCTGAGCGCTGCTGCGATGCAACATGAATTGTGCACTGTTCTTCTTTGCTGGGTTGTTGGTTGACCCACGCATCTACTTCAAATGTCTTGTAAAAGCTTCATTCATTGGGCTCCAGCGCGCTACAGCCAGGTGCTTTTGTTGATGATACCCAAGGCCAAAGGGGCAAGCTGGAACAGAGATCAGCTCCAGGCCTTTCATCCAACTGATCAGCTCCCCTGGAATCGATGGTTGCTCTAGCCCGGTGGTTTAGTGGTTAGGATCAGCTCCCGTCCACTCTCTCCAAACACCAGGGGCTCAAATCGCCAATCCAAACCACCCAACCCGCTTAAAGAGGCAGGCGCGGAGCAAGAGCTGTAAACCGCCCAGGCCACAGATGCGGTGGGTGCTTCACTTCTCAATGCCATTTGTTCCCGATGTTGGCCCGTGCTGCGTTGTCCGCTGAACTCCATAAAAGGACTCGCTAGTTGGTCGATTTGGAAGGGAAGCTGTCAGTGGGTGTCCACGGTTTCCGTCTGAAAATGCAAAAGACTTGCGCACAGAATCCAGTGGACCGAGCTCAAGTGACGGAACCCACATGTTGCCCACATTCAGCCCGAGGAACCAGCCCAAACATATCTTTGACACTTCCCGCCATTAGCTGCTGACCTCGTTTGATATTTGTTCGGGCCGCCAGAAGTGGTGCTGGGAAACTGGGTCAACCAAAACATTAAAGTCCAAAGATCCGTTACCGAATACCCTCTTGCCAACAATCATGGAAGTGGACAGGGGGGTCCCCCAAAGGGAAAGTAGCCTTCCAAAACACTCCGATCGTCAGCTTCCATGATGGGTGGAGGGAGGGTTGCCATAAAGGTGAGTTGTTTTTTCGTGACGCCCAAAGCCAGAAAGGTGAGGAGTCGTTTTTTTAGTTGCGACACGAACATCAGGTCTGTTCTCTGGGCATCCTCCGAGTCCTGTCCCACCGTTCAATGGGGACGGTGGTCGAGCCTAGGAGGATCAGAGCGCCGAAGAGGGACTTCAAAGAGTCCATGATCATCCTCGGGTGCAACCCTCGACCCCTCCGCAAAAAGTGACAAATCATCACTTTTTGTGGGGTCAGCACGGAAAACCCAAAAAGTTGCAACCAACAAGTTGCAAAACCAACAAGTTGCAAAACCAGAGGGCGACTGAACTGATTGCTTAACTAAACGATGCCAACCAAAAAGTTCGAACATGGCGAACAGATCCCCGGCGGCAAGTTCCAAAACTCGTAGCTCCAAGCCGCATGGCCCAGTTCGCCAGCTGCCGGAAGAACCGGAAGACCCGGAACACCCGCATGATCCTCGCGGCTCGCGGCCGAATGCATCGACTGGGATCCACGCATTCGCTCGACCCAACTAACGGGTCGGGGGCAAAACTTGTGAACCCCGAATCGCAGACCTCTTTTTGGGCTGCGTGCTGAAAATCAAACTTAAGAACACGCCAAAAACAAAAAATGTTGCCCCTATTTCAGCAAGCTCCGAAACAGGCTCACTGAAAGCTGGCAGTGGATTGCAGGGTGAACAGTGGAACCTTTTGAACATGGGCGTCTTTAAACCCGGAAAACGCCTGTTTGAAAGGCATTGAAAAATCTGGTCGACCTCTCGTGCATGGACCAGTCTGGAGCGCCAAGGGGAGTTTTCGAGCTCTGGGGCCGTAGAATGATGCCTGAGACATCCCGAGAGAAGCCCGTTCCTTAGGTCGCCGTTTGCACCGTTCAGTTTCCGGTCTCAACAGCAGCCGGCGCCTCTGCCAAACCCCGTGCCTGAATAGCTTCAACATCTTCATGCTGCCCGCCAGGGCCGGCGACATGGCAGCCCTCGAATAAGTCAACAGCACCTCAGGCATGCGCAGCGCGTGCCATGCAGAGCACCCCAGCAAAAAGTTTTAAACTGTTTGCTGGTTAAAAGGACATATGAAGGGAATCCAAAAAGTTAAAGTCCAAAGATCCAACCCAAGAGGTGTTAGAGACACTTCTCAGAATGCACAGCGGCAAGCGGAAAGCAATCTTATCCACGGCGGCAGACTGCTAGTTCATGTCCTCTTCGGACAAAGAGGCGTGGGCCCCTCTAAGTGGCAAGGACAATTTCTGCTAGCCCTTCAAATCTGGCAAGCATCATGCTGATTCAAGCTAACCTGGACAGCACGACTCAGGGCCGTGAACAGCATTTGAGGAATCAAAACACATGGGTTAGAACAAAAATAGGAAACCCAGTTACTCCAAAGAGGTGGCCTATGTGACTCTGTCCAGATTTCCCTGGTAAGGCTTGCTTGCCGTATGCTTATCCTCCCCTGGTGTTCCAGTATGTCCACGGTGCAACCCATCATCATCATCATCATCATCATCATCATCATCATCATCATCATCATCATCATCACCATCACCATCACCATCACCATCACCATCACCATCACCATCACCATCACCATCACCATCACCATCATCATCATCATCATCATCATCATCATCATCATCATCATCATCATCATCATCATCATCATCATCATCATCATCATCATCTTATATATATATATATATACATATGGTCACCCCCCCCCCCCCAGGGTCTAGCTTTCCTCTCTTCTAGTTGAAGGTGTCAAGTCTACTCCGTGTGCCTCGTTCTTGCAAATGCCTGAAAACACTGTAAAATCCAGTGTTTATGTTGGTGCTTTACTTCTTTATGACAGCATTTTGCTTGCTTTGTTTCAGCTTGAAAGGCAACAAAGCGAAAACGCAATCCGTTTTCAGATTCGAGTCTGGCTTTGTTTGAAAACACTGGTTTTACAGTGGTTTTGAGTACACCAGGGGAAAAACCTTGAACAAATGATGCTTTTTGCAGCTCTGCAACCTGCACAGACCCAACAGCACAAAATCTCCTGAAAATGAAAGCTCTGAGACCCGCACATGCCAAACACATCCAGACCAAGTTTGGGAGTCTGGGGATATGTGCCCTTTATTTGTTTAGCCACATTTAAGCTAAATCATATTTGGGAATGAGTTACTACTAAAATGTGTTTGCAAAGGCCAAGTGACTTCTTTCCAGAATAAGCTCTATTCCAATTCAAGTTGTATTTGGGGATGGGTTCTTGATTAATTTCTTATGCTCAAAAGCTAATTGAATCATGTCTGTTTAGACTCTACTGAAATGTTAATTTCCTTATTTGGAAAGGTAGTCCTGTTCAAATTCTGATCAAATATAGACATTACGGTGAATTATGAATGGTAAACTATGTGCTTACTAAATTCTATTCAATATGCAAATTCAATTCGGAGCAAAATCTTATTTAGAAAGGAATATATATTTGGATATGTTGGAGGACTCCCAGCTCCAAATTATGAGGCTTGGAGAATCCAGCATTAGACATTTCGAGGATTCTGATCTCCAGATTCTAGGTTCCAGGTGTTTCAAAAGGGATTAGAGATCCAACAAAATGCTGTAAAACACAGTGCTTTGCAGAAATTGCTCAGATGGCGTTCCCTTGGACTGAAGATTGTTTTTCCCCAAACAACATTTCTCCCTTCAACATTCCAATTCAATTCGCAGTATTTGGAAAGGAATCTATACTTGGACATGTGGAGGACTCCCAGCTCCAAATTATGAGGCTTGGGGAATCCAACATTAGACATCTCGAGGATTCTGATCTCCAGATTCTAGGTTTCAGGTGCTTCACCATGGACATTTCAAACGATTGCAGGTCCAACAAAATGCTGTAAAACACACTGTGTTGAAGACATTGCTCAGATTGTGTTCCCTTGGACGGAAGACTGTTCCTTTTCCCAAACAACATTTTCCCCAAGCAACATTTTCCCCAAACAACATTTTTCCCAAACAACATTTTCCCCAAACAACAGTATCCATTTGCTACGCATTAAGCCTACATAAGGTTTATAAACTTGTAGGAAAGTTTATAAACCTTCTTGAGTGTTTGGCGTTTTCCTGCAACAAGGCAGGACCCTGGGAAGTCTTCATGGTCCTGGTATCCTTGAAAGGGGGGGGGGAAGGGGGGGGGGTGGAAGTCTTGGGAGGGGGGGGGAGTGGTTGGAAGTCTCAGCAGTGAGGTGTGACTCAACCAACTTTGTTAAAGACTTCTCACCCCCCCCCCTCCCTCCCCATGCCCCAGACTTCTCAACCCAGGTGCCCAGGTGTTGCCTTGTTGCAGGGAAAGCGTCAAACCCTGACATAGTTTATGAACTTTCCTGAAAGCTTATAAACTCTTTGCTGTTGTTACTCCACAGACTTGTCACCCACAAAAACTATGCAACAACAGCACACTTCTTGCGTATATATTCTCACACCCCCTGTCTTTAAAATAAGAGGATTTGGTCCAATTTGAAGAAGAAAGGTAGGCCCTGCGGGGGGGGGGGGTTAGCATATATATATATATATTAGGATGTGCTCTCGGTCACTCTTTGTTGGTCCCACCTCTGTTTCTGTCTCTGCACCTCCCTATGCGGCTGTCCTTTCTTCTTTGGGACTGTCACAGTCCCTGAGGGGGGGGGGATTCAGTTCTCTTGCCTAAGGAAAAACCTGCCCTCTGCCCGCTTTAACTTTAAGGCTGCCGCGTCCACCACGGAGGCACAAACCAAGAAGGCGTCGAACAAATTCCAACCTGCGCTCGAATATCACACTCCACTGCACGCGCCCTTTGATGCCAAGCCTCCCAGCCACACACACACACACACACGCAATGACAGGCAGGTAGGCAGGCAGACCGCCAGACACAGACACCCAAACAGACAGACACACAAACACACACAAACAGGCAGGCAAACAGGCAGGCGAACAAACAAGCAAGCAAACAAAAAAAAACAATAAATAAGTAACAACCAAACAATCAAACAGACAAACAAACGGACGAACGGACGGACGGACGGACAAACAAACAAACAAACAAACAAACAAACAAACAAACAAACAATCAATCAAACAAACACATAGACAAACGAAAGAGCGAAAAAAACGGAACAAATAACGAAAACAAACGAACAACAAACCAAAACAAAGCAACGTATCACATAAACGAACAAACAAACGAAGAAACAAACAAAAAGGCAAACAACAATCAAAAACAAGCAGACAGAACACGCATTTGCAATTTGCAGGTCGATGGGTTTCGGCACAGGAATTTGATCGCCTAGCTGCAGCTTTGCTAAGGTCACTTGCTCCGAGCCTGAATCTGTGAAGCCCTACTTGACCGCTTGCATGGGAACTTACTTGATCATCCACTTCACCATTTATGGCTGCGGCAAAACTGACCTAAGGCGACCTAAACAGCGAGGGGCTAAGACAGAAGGAAAACACCTAGGTCCCGACCACTGTCTGGAAAACCAGCCACCCAAGAAATACAGAAACTCCGGCCACATGGCTTCGCGAGGTTGCACGCAGCTGACAAGCCTGAGGCATGAACGACTCCTGCTCTGCAACGAAGCCAGGATGCAGCGTTTCACCGGGCCCCCCCTTGTTGCTTCAAAGGAAGAGAGCCCAATTTGGGGCTTCGATCGGATCCTGACCGCAAAAAAAAATGAGAGTCCTGCGCAAGCGATTGGACCCCGTCAGAACCCGTTGAGGGTGCCCTGGTCTATTGAGGTACGGGGTCTAAACGATTAGAATAGGGCTTATGAAACCAAACTAAATCATGACCACGGACAAACTACCCCATCCACTAACATGGAACCTCACAAGAAGGGTCCTAGAAACCAACTTGTCCTTCAAAAGGCACCTGGTAAGTTCCACATAGCCATGGACCGGAGGGTCGTCGTTTTTTTTTTTTTTTTTTTTTTTTTTTTTTTTTTTTTTTTTTTTTTTTTTTTTTTTTTCGGGAGCGTCGCTTTGAGTTCGAATCCCATCTGCTGGGTCGCCTGGCGTTCGCCTCGCTTTTCTCGGTTTTCCTAGTCGCGCCTTGCTCCTCGCCGCAGAAGAACTTGGACTTGTAACCTCGGATCCGTCGAAGAGCCGACCACCGCGGCCCAAAGCGCGCTAGAGGTGCCGCGCCGCCGAGGCGGTTTTTTTGGGCCCCCGGCTGGTGGAACGTTCGTTCTAGGGAATGAGACATGGAAGGACCCCCTTACAAAAAAGAGAGGAACAAGGTTTGGCTTCCTTTTGGGGAATCCCCTTCCGGTTCATTCCCAACACCGTGGGTCATTCCGAACTGATCACCAGCAAGATTGCCCCGTGTTTGATGATGATGCGGAGCTCGGACATTTCCAAACTGGTGAAAGATCAAAGTCCAACCAAAAGCAGCAGGCCAGACAGCAAATGAAGCAGTAATGTGAGTCATCCACCATTTGGCGCAGATTCCTAGAGTTTTCATCACCATTCACACACAAAAACAACCAGGCCGCGCACGGTGCTCAAAGACAAAGGCGTGCCAAATATGAAATTGCTATGCACGAGGTACTATGACAAAGTGGGCAGGGATCTGTTGGTGAAGAAATATGGGTGAGAGTTGTTCGAGTTTTCCCTGGGCCCTGTGGCCAAGTGGTTCTTGTGACGAACCTGAACTTGCCGAAGATACGAATGCAAGCCCCGTTCTCCCTTCGAAGCTCCAGTTGCCTTCTACCCCATAGCCTTCAAGAGGCCCTCATGAGTCCAACAACTTGGGAGAGAGTTGAGGCAACTTGCCCTGTCGGGAGTATCTTCCATGAGACTGGGTGAAAAACGAACAAAATCTCCTCCGGAACCTCCATGAAGAGCGAGGAACGCTCTGAAACGACCTGTGGCTGTCCCCTTTCTGGAGATTGAGCATCTGCAATGTCCTCGATTGCTGTCCCTTTTGTTTGGCGACTCTAGAAGGCCGGTCCCAGAAGGCATTCAACATTCTTCGTGGCCAGATTTTTTTCGTGATCACGTCCCTTTGCGCGCCAGACGAGCAAAACTCGCGGATCCGAAGGAATCCCCTCAAACGCTCAGAACCAAGGCGCACCAAAGGCGCAACATGAGCTCGACGAAGAAGAAGCCGTTGCAGAGCTCGCTGGACACGGTAATCAACTGGCGAATGGGCGACAAGATCAGCACAAATGTCCGTGAGGGTCCCTAATCTGGCTCCGGTCGTGTTGTTCTCGACTAGGGGAATCTTGAGAAAAACACAGGTTGCCTCCCCCCCCCTTCAGTCTGAATGCAATACATGTTCCAGGTCTAACAACAACCAATGAGACCTTCTCTCTCACCAAAGCGTCGAGCTCAGTTTTGTGAGATGGGGAAGTGCGTTCAGGTCGCAGAAGCAGGTTGAGCCTTCGGGCATTTCAGCTGCCAAAGTTGGGTGTGCAGCGAAACCAAGAAGCTGATGCGCGGGTACATACAGAAATGCATACAACGAACTATTTACCACACCGAAAAGACAACGGGTACTCAATGCACAAAAAATAAGGCAACACAACACCAACACTAACTCAATTTTGAACAGTATACGGCTAGCACACAGCAATACTGAAGCAATGCCAAGCAATTCAAAGTACGAAATAGAGCTGCTGGATGACTGATTCGGGCATGCCTGCCCCCGACTCCAACCCCCTTTTTTGCTTGGATGTTAATTTTAGTTGTTCCAGGGGGGCCATCATCATCAGTCGCCCACCTTGTTTGGTAAAGCAGCCAAAAAAGTTCCGCCATTTTGCGGGTCCCCGAAAAACACCCACCTGATGAATTTGGGGAAGCTTGGGAGGTCAATTCTAGTAAGAAAGTGTGACTGCCCAGTTCACTCCAGTGCCAAGTACCACGTTAGTAGGCAACCACATGCTCTCTCTCAACCAACCGCAACCGAAGGTGAAACAAAATATGGGCACCCCTTTGCTTGAATGTAACAAGGAGGTTGCTCATGGGTGGGGTCCCTCCAAACCAACCCAAAAAGGGCGGCCTCGCAAACCAACCAACCCATCCACCCACCCACCCACCAACCAACCAACCAAACAACCAAACAAACAACCAAACCAGCAAGCAAGCAAGCCAGCCAACCAACCAACCAACCAACCAAACCAAGCAAGCCAACCAACCAACCAACCAACCAAGCCAAGCAAGCAAGCAAGCAAGCAAGCAAGCAAGCAAGCAAGCAAGCAAGCAAGCAAGCAAGCAAGCAAGCAAGCAAGCAAGCAAGCAAGCAAGCAAGCAAGCAAGCAAGCAAGCAAGCAAGCAAGCAAGCAAGCAAGCAAGCAAGCAAGCAAGCAAGCAAGCAAGCAAGCAAGCAAGCAAGCAAGCAAGCAAGCAAGCAAGCAAGCAAGCAAGCAAGCAAGCAAGCAAGCAAGCAAGCAAGCAAGCAAGCAAGCAAGCAAGCAAGCAAGCAAGCAAGCAAGCAAGCAAGCAAGCAAGCAAGCACACACACACACAAAAACACACAGACACTCTCACTGTCAGGATACTCGGAGACCACAAGAAACAAAGCCAACTTGCAGATCTTCCCAACGAGTTGTTCAAAGATTTTTTCGCTGGCCCAAGGTGGATTCCGACCTTGACATCTCCCCCCCCCCGCCCCCCTCGACACACACCCGTTTCCCCCCCTGCCGTTCCCCCCCGAGCGACCGCCTGCGAGCTCCCGCCTGCTCCTCCAGCAGGGACTTATTGCGGTGCACATCGAGGCCCAGGAGGATGGAGTTGAAGATGATCATCGAGGCCACGCAAAGGCCGAAGGACCGGCTGTTCAACTCGGAGCCGTTTCGCAAAAACCCATCCCGAAGGACACGGCTTGGTGACCTCGAAAAACCATCAGCTCACCTCCAATTGGTGGAGCCGGGTGGTTTGTTGGTTAAGGAGGGGGAAACCCCATTCATCTACAACAATCAGGGGTTCAAAACCCCAAACCGCGAATCCAAATCGCCAATTCAGGGTTACCTGAAACCACGCGCTTTGTGGAAAAGTGGAAAAAGGACCACCTATGGTTGCCTCCAAAAAAATGTGAGAAACAAATCAATGGACCCGGAGGTGGACATCAGAATTTGGTAGGGATTCATGTCCACTTTGTGAGGTTGTTCCAACTCGGAAAAGGAACAAAAGAAGAAAAACACGGATGAGCTTGTGCCATCACCGGGATCCGAGCTTGTGCCATAAGCGGATCCTAAGGATTGGCTTCGAATGGGAGAAGCCCTCAGTCCCATTTTGGGGTCCCAAGAAGAGAGTCTGGAAAACATAGGGCGGGGGATCCGGAGGGACCGAGTCCCAGGGCCGAGCAAGGGAAAGGCCCTTTACAACCATCAGTATAATGACAAACTTTGATACAGAACCCCCCCCAAGAAAAGAAAGAAAAAAAACTGAAAAGCAACCCCCAAATCCCCCCCCCAAAAAAAAACGAAAAGCTTGCCGATGGTGAAGGGCCATAGTTCCAAGGCTTGCCCGTGGCTTGCACTGCCTCGCCTGGAAAACAAGCCAAAATGCAGCAAGCTGTTGGATCAAGAAACCAGAGACGAGCTTGACTTGGGTGTGGGTCAAAGTTAAACCACTGAGGAAACCGCAGGTGTTAGTCCATGTTTCCATTTACCAAGGTTTCATTTTGGGTACCTATTTTTGACCCGCACCCACTTTGCACTGGCTTCATCTGCAGAGCCACTTGCATCAAACACTCCCCAGCGCCCAAGCAGCTGAACAACCCAAAGCATCATGCCCACCTGCCATGAATCGGTCGCTAGTACAAAACCAGCAACAGTCCTCCCGCCTCAATTCCTAAGCTTCCTCAAGTCTTGACCGTTCACGTGCCTGAAAGGAGCCCCCGTCCGGGCTCTTTGCCAAAGTTGAGGTCGGAGGCTATCTGGGTGTGTCGTGTTTTTTGGGAACCCCAATTGCTTACTTTGAAAGGGAGGCCAAGAATAACACCACACATTTGTCGGCTGCGAGTCCGAAAAACATACACGCCCATCCGGGCAAACGAACCTAAGGGAAGAGGTCCAAGCCATTGGCACACCTGGGGCCCCTGCGAGGCACGTCAAGCTGATCTTAGCACGGCTGACATGAGTCGCTGAGACCTTCCCCCCAAACGCCCCCCTTGTCTTGCTGGTGCTCGGCGAATGAGGGAATGAATCTGGGGATTCCCTAAGAGGAAACCGTAGAAAATTGCTTTTTGGGGTATGTCCTTCACTACCCGCTGAGAACCAGCGAATTGTTTAGGTTGGAAAGAAAGCTTGGCAACATTCAAAAGGAATCCTGTGAACACTAGAGGCGGTCCAAACTCATTTGCAGCTGGACATGGTCGAAAGCCAAACCCTCGGGACAGAAGTGGAGAGATCTTTGGGCAAAAGGCTGGGTGATGTAGATGGGTGCTGGACAAATTGGGGTTGACGTAGACATGGAACAAGTTTTGTCACCACACCAAAACGCGTATCAGTTGCGGCCATGTCCCTTGAAAACATACAAACAAGCAAACACAAAACCAAACATCCAACAAACAGGCGAGCAAGCAAACAAGCACGCAGGCAAGCAAGCAAGCAGGAATGCAAAACAAACAAAACAAAACCAACAAACTAACAAACAAACCAAACCGAACCGAACCGAACTGATCCAAACAAAACCAAACCAAACCAAACCAACAGAAAAAAACAACGAAACCAGCCAGCCACACAAACAAACAAACAGACAAACAAATCAAACAAACAAACTGGCGAACAAACAGCACAAATGATACAGCAAACCAAACAAACCAACCAACCAAACAAACAGGCAAATAAGCCAGGAAAGGCACGTAAAGCAACATAAACTTCTTGAAGTCAGCAATTCATGTGCTGACGAGTTCCTCTTCCAACCCGACATGTCTGAACCGTAGCTTAAGCAGCCTCTCCTTGAAGCAGCACGCAGGGCTAGCAGGGTCTACGTAGCCACTCTTGCTGACATCTGTCAAATGACAAACCTTAATTCAGCAATCCCCGAGTAAGCCGTGAAAAAAAACCCAGGAGGAGCTCGCTTTACAGCTTGCGCTGCTCAAACATCCCGTTGAGTCCGAGTTCCGCTTGATTTGAAGATTGGGCAGCTCCCAAATCTAGAAAAACATGCGAATGAGCCGTCAAGTTGTGCAATGAAAACAACGCCTGATTTCTCTGCCGTGATGTCTACTATGGATGAACATGGCACGTTTCATGGGTACCATGTTCCATTCAGGATGCCCTCCAACAAGGGAGCATGCGCCCTTTTATCATACATTGCATAACCCCCTCTACTCTAAACCCCCCTCTACCAAATAACACCAAATTGAGAGGGAACATGAAAACAAGGCTTTATTAAGCCCCTAGTAGTAAAGGGACATGTCTGAATTCAAAGTTCCCATTGCTGCACGGCGGCTTCTTGCATTCTCGATACCGCCGGTCTGCTGTCCTGGACGTCAACGAATTAGGTGGCAAGCACGTGGCTGTGGTTTCCTGTAAAAACGCTAAAAGAAGAATACCATCAAACAAACCACAACTCAACATGAGCCACAAGCAAGAATATGTTCCCAAGAATCCAACATCACGTCCAGTACATGTCTGGCAATTGTCTCACATATGTGTACATATGTGTGTATCTATGTGTATACATACATATATATATATATGTATCATCTCCAGCACATGTCAACTCATTGTTTGTTAGCTAGTCTAGAAGATGCCCAGCTTGTGTTCAGTTTCGCTAAAGTGTGATACGTCATCTGACTTTAGTAACTGTCTAGCTTGATTTGAAGTTGTTTCTAGTCCTCCAGTGTTCTTGTTTGACATGATTGTGTTATCAGCTTCCCCGTAATTGGTGGCTTGGACTGGTGAATTGGTGGTTCAGGGGTCCAAACCACAAATCAAGGAATACCTGATATGCCTGATACAAGATCTCTAGCACCGGATTCTTTGGATTTCCCAACGTCTTTCCCAAGTTCTCCGGACGGCTCCTCCGGACCTTCTTGGAGTAGCATGAATCTGTCCCGATACAGCGCCCAATCGAACTTTAGCAGAACGACGGATGAGTCCGCCATGTTCTTCGAACAAAGCCGCTCCCAAATAGAATGAAGGAAGTTGGGCCCGGGCGTTTCCCTGAAGAGGTTCTTGGCTTTGATTTCTGGGTCTGCTCACGGTTGCTTGCCAATGCTAGAAACACAAATGCGTTGAAAAAAACAAACAAAATGTCGTCCAAACCCTATGCCTCTAGATCCTAAAGGAGGTCTGAAGCGCTCTTTCCTGTTCTTTGATTTCTCTGTGTGTTTTTGTGGACCTCAACTCTTCAACATGAGCATCCCCCACAGTCGCCGGATCCTGGACCCGGTTCTGCGTTTGATTCGGAAACAACTCGAGCTGCGTGTGTCTTGCTTTGCTTCTCTGTGGGAATGGGTCTTCTTGCAGATTTGCAGGCGCAGATTTATGTGTTGCGAGCCTCTGCAAACAAGGCATTCCATGTCCAAACTCGGTCCAAGCTGGCTTTGAACTAATTATCACACCCTCCTGACGGCCAACATCTGCCAAACCTGATACATACATATATATATATATATACATACATACATACACCAAACATATTTCTTCAGAGTCCGGTCTATAACCGTACAACGCAAACCTGTGAAGGGGCGCCCCAAGCTCACCACGAAAGCGCCTCAAAAGCGAACCAACGATCCGCCCCATCCGCGCCGAGTCGATTTTCTCCGCGTCTCCTTGGTCCGAACTCGTGAGGAGATCTCCCCAATGGCCTGAGAAAGGTCCGTGCGAACCGGTGAACCGGAAGTTCACCGATTCCGATCTCCAATCAGGGCACCCGACTTCTTTCAGTTTTGTCTATTTGAGTCTTGATAGGTTAGAATAAAGCTACCAACTTTCTTCAGGACGCCGATTTCAGTAGAAAAAAACCCTCCCAAAGGGGTGAGAGCTCGGGCACGATCCTGGGGGATTTCTGGGTGTGGGGCCCGATGGCCTAGAAGTTCACGTTATGACCCACAAGAACCACTCACTTCTGAACCACTCTGGGCCAAAAGTGCCCCCAAACTTTGCAAGTTTGCCACTCAAATGGTTTAAACTTCAAAAAATAGGGAAAAATAGAATGTACGTTTGCCACTCAAACTCCCAAAAAGTGTGTTTAATGTCCAGGGTCATAAGCCACGGCAAAAGCCCAACAGCCTCAGAGCCCCTCGGAACGCCTTCTTTTGAGCCCCACACCAAGCCCTTCTCGAGCCTATCTGGGGCGTAAAAAAAAAAAAACAGGGCGATCAGCTGGGGAATAAGAGGCTTCCGGAAGTCCCAACTGGTGTCTTAGGGACCCCCCCCTTCCCTCGCCCCCAGTCCCCATGACAACTGGCTTCTTAGGGATCATCTATAATTCGCCCTGCAAAAAATATGGGTTGCCTGCGTGAGGAACTGGAATAGGTGCACACCCCGGCAAGTGAGGCTGCCACAAACCCAGAATTAATCATCTTAACCCGTCCCCCCCAAACCAAAACCTGCCCCTCCACAACTAATTTACCTACACCTGCGTTGGAATGGTTCGCCAAGTCCGGCCTTCCGAAAGCGAATCCGGACCCAGACATGGATCACGGGTTTGCAAGTCTCGTGATCAAAATCAGGCCTGGAGAGTTGTAGAATGATGGCCAAGGGGAGATCCCTGAATACTGCCTGTTTCCACGAACAGCGGGCACATGTTACTGGAAATGGCATGCAAGCAAAGACCAGGATCAAACTAAATCCCGACATGTCGTGTGATGCCAAGAGAAAACAAATGAATCCATCATGGCGTACTGTTGCTACTTCCCTTGACTAAAGAAACTGCCCATGTGGCTAGGAAAAAGCTTAGCTTCGGCAAGCGTCCGGATAAAGATCAAACAAAGCATCCCCTACCCGTGGCTCCCCGAGTTCCGCGAATCAGAAACGGTGCTACTGGAGCTTCCTGGGGCTTCCTGGAGCTTTCCTGGTGCGAGAGATGAGAATGAGAAATGGAATGACCTCAAGAGAAACCATCCCATATGGCTTCCTTTAAGTTAGGGGAATCCCAAAACGGTCCATTCCATGTATTCCATTTCTCATTCCCTACCTATCGCACCAGCAAGTCGTTCCCAGCGGTAAATGGGGGATGATCAAAAGGGACTTTACATGACCATTGGGGGAAACCACTAAGAAAAATATATGTCAGCCACGAAATGGCTGTGGGTCAAAATCCAAATCGTAACCCCAGTGAACATCCCAATCCCCACTAAAATAGGTCCTACGTTGTGTGGTGAATTCACCTACCCCAAACTGGTATCCGATTGGTTCGGACAACCACAGCCAAATGGGGAAAGTTACCCACGGTCAGTTGGCCGAAGGGAATGGAACCTTTGCACCTCCGGGAGCCAGCCCCAAGCCCACTTCCCGGAACCTGCCTGAAAGCTTCAGCCCTTACTTCCCCACCAAGCGAGCCGCTTTCTTGCGAAAAGGCGCACAGCGAATGGTACGGGAAATGGCCCCAGTTGCTGGCTTTGATACCTAACACAATCCCATGTTGCTCAATTGTTTCTGGATCAGTGCCAAACAAATGTCTATCTTTTTGAGACCCCCAAAATCAGTGTTTTTCCTTTTGGTGTCCATTTAAAGCCAACCCCCGACCGGCTCAGAGCCAGTATCCCATCTCCAGCCTTCTCCTTCTTGCTGATCTCCTGAGGTCGGTTCCATTTGGACCCAATCGGCACGTGGTGCTTCTTTTGCCGGACGCGGACGCCAGGTTTCTCCCCGGGGGTTTTGGGGAAATGTACCAGACACCGTGAAATTCAAACAATCTATTGCCCGGATTCTGGACTCGGTGTGCAAGCAGGAGAGGGGGGAACCCTTTATGCCTTTCAACCTGTTCTTGCTGTATGCAGTGTTGCTGATGTAGTGTGCCCGTCAGGGTCCTCCTCCGCAGTTTACTTCACGCCCCCCAACCCAGTCTTCCGGTCATTCTTCATTGAAGAAGTACATATTTGCCAGTCATGACCGCTTCGGTTTCAAACCACAGGAGAACAAGAGCAACAGTCACTTCAAACGAATGCCCCCACACCCCACGTCTCTTTGACATGGTCGGACAAATAGCCAACGCACCCCAGATTGCGTGGGCGCCATGTGTTGGCCCAGTCATCAAGTGATCTCCGGGGGCCTGAACCTGCCCGTCCTTTTCTCACGGGGCAAACGGAGAAACTAAATGCAGCACCTGGAAAAGGCCTGAAAGGATGAAAACCTTCAGAGGGACTTTGTGCAGAAGCTCGCGACATCCGTGGATTTCCCCGGAACATTCTTGAAAACTGACGTCTGATGAGAGAAACCCCGTTTCGCCCTCGCAACAAAAACACCCTCCAACAACAAACAAGACACAAACAATCCACAACTCGGTTTTCTATTCATCTGGCGCTTCAATATAGCACAAAAAGAAAAAGCAAAAGACAACTCCAACCGAAAAGGCAAAAGCAAAAAACAAAGAACAACAAAGAAAAGGACAACTCCAACCGGAAAAAAAAGGAAGCAAACAAAAAACAAACAGGACGTCGCCCTTTCCGCGTCCTTTTTTTGGCTTGGCAGTCCATTTGGCCGGTCCTCCTGCATGCGGTAGAGCTTTGCCAGCGCTTCGTGGTTCATATTGGACCTCGAGGAAAAATCGGCCGGCCCCAAGGCCCGTCAAGCTGACTCACTGGCCTTGGCCCTGCGACAGGACTACAAATTGTGTTATGTGCATGTGTTCATATTTGCACAGCCGAAAGTAGCATATATGTGTGTATATATATATACTTGTATATGTATATATATATATATGTATATATACATACATATCTACCAGTATAGCCGGGGAAGCAGGGAGGCGGAAGTTTCAAAACAGTCTACAACTATAGGAACGACTTTGTGTTGTGTTTTGGCATTTTCTGTCTCCTTTGCGTCCCTGTTTCTGATCCCTTTCTTTGTTGTTGGCAACCAGCTCACTCCCTGTTTCTGACCCCTGTGCTTCCCTCGCGCTTCTTTTTTCCAATGCCATCGCTGCGTGGCGGCGCCAAACACTGCGGCCAGAAGCGGCACGCATGTTGGCGCTGGGCTCGTTGCTGCAAGCACACGGCGGTGGCCTTGCTGGCAGGGCACAATGCCCGGGAGCTGCAGCACACAGGCGCTTAGTTATTATTCGGTTACCCATCATTATTAGCTATTATTCAATTATCTATCATTGTTACCTTAATTCTTATCAGTGAGCATTTGTCTCTATATCTTATACATTCATCAAGTTCATAATTCTTCTTTTCTCCACAGCGGGCAGAAACCTGCATTCAGATCACAGGGGTGAAATGAGGCTTTCCTTTTCACCACAGACAAACAATGCCTCAGCCAGGCCAAGCCAGCCGCCCACCAGCAGACCCCCCGCTGGCTAAGTGGCCACATCTTTCGTCATATGGGGTAAGTGGAAAAGGCAAGTCCAAGGGCCGTGGGAAGTCCAAGCGCGGTGGGAAGTCGAAGTCGGACCCGGTGCGGATGCCGAACCAGCCAGCTGAGCTGCTCGGAAAAGGGCTGTCCTTGGCAACTCCAGCAGGCGATCCTGTTTGCTACAACTACAATCTGGCCCGCGGTTGCAACCGATCGGACTGCCCACGTAAGCATGTGTGTATGAAGTGCTTCGGCACTCACCCTCAGATGCAGTGTCGCAAGTGAAATGGCGGCTCGGGGGCCGACCCTTTGCCGCAGCTGAATTGGGATGAGCCGGCTCCAGGCACCGCGCCTTTGGTGCGCTCAGTTTTGGTGCTGGAAGTCTTCGCCGGGTCGGCCCGTATTTCACAAGCATGCCTCGCATATGGATTTCAGGTCATCCCAATCGATTCAGCGTCGGCACCGGGGATCCGTAGTGTGGTACTGGATCTACGCAATGTTGGGGAGCAGATTTTGCTCCTAGAGATTATTCACCGATGCCAGCCCTTGATGATATGGATGGCGCCTCCGTGCGGCGCGTCTTCAAGGGCTAGAGAAGTGCCGGTGGATCCAGCGTCTGGGTTGCCCCCCAGCCGCCCGCTACGTTCAGAGATGTTCCCTGACGGGCTCCCCGATTTGTACCCGGCGGCGGCGGCGCGAGTCCGGAGTGCCAACGAGCTGTATGCCTTTACGGCCATCCTGATAGAGGCAGCGCGGGACATCAGCTCGTTGTGGGTGGTGGAGCAGCCGTTGCGTTCCCTGGCATGGCACACATCCTGGCTATCGCCTCATGTTCAAAATGGTGTCATGAACGAAACGCACTTTTGCGCATTTGGAGGTCAGCGGCTGAAGCGGACGGGGTTGCTCTCTGACAGACAGTTGCCGGCTTTAGTTCGCCAGTGTGCTGGGGATCACCCCCATCTCCCATGGCGAGGAACCGAAGGTTTCCGTACGGCTGAGGAGACCGCATACCCCCCGTCCTTTTGCGAACGGGTTGCGGCCTTTTGCCTTGCCGAGGCAGAAGCTAGAGGCTTCCAGCCAGTCCCGGCCAGCTTGGCCCTTCCGGGATCCAGTGCAGATTTTGGCTTTCTCCGAACACAGCTATTGGCCTGGGGCAACAGAGGCGTGGCCAACAGGCCGCAGCAGTGCCTTCGGCATACCAGGCAGTTGTTGCAGCAGTTGATGTGGTGGGAACAACCCGACCAGGTTCCAAAGTGCAGCATGCATCATTGCCTAAAGGCACTGTTTTGGCCCATGTGCAGCCCAATGATGACACCCGGATCGTTTTGATTCCCAAAAGCCCGGAAATCTTCATGCACGAAGTAAAGGCGGCTACTCACCCGGCGGCTGCAGCTGCGCCCGTCCCGGCTGATGTGCGCCAGGCCATACACGAGCAGACCACCCGGCAGCCCGCGACCATCGCGCGACACTGGGCGAACCGCCTCAAGAGCCTGCTCGAGCGGGCTAAAGAACTTCAGCCCTCGGAGCTCGCAGCCCTAGCTGAAACGGATGCAATCCTACAGCAGGTGAACTCCGGCAAGAGGGTCTTGTTGATGAGCGAGCTCTTGAGCTCCATCCAGTACCCCGATCTGGAGGTGTGCGAAGACCTTCGGCATGGCTTCCCTTTGGCCGGATGGTTGCGACCTACAGGGTTGTGGCCAGTTTTGCATCAGCCCCCGCTGCTGCAGGTTGAGACGCTCGACCAGCTGGCGTTACCCATACGAACATCATTGCTTGGGCGCTTCCGCTCCTCGAGTGATGATGAAGTGGCGGCGCGCCTGTATCAGGTCACGCTGCAAGAGGTGCAGGATGGGTCACTCCTACCTGGTGTGCCACTCGATGAGGTTCCTCATGATGTTGTGGTGCCCCCAAGGTTCCCGGTGATCCAGGGACCCAAGCTGAGGGCGATCGACGATATGTCGTCTTCCATGATCAACGCGACAGTCGGCTCGCATGAAAAATTGCAATTTTACGACATTCCATGTATTTTGGCAGTGGCGCGTGAATTCTGCAACGCTTCGGGCCGGCCGCTTCATGGACGGTCCTTCGACATGCAGAATGCATATAGACAGATTCCGGTCTTACCGGCTCATCGTCGGTTAGCATATGTGGCACACTTCTGTCCATCTGCGGGTCGGCCTTTGGCCTTCGCCATGAACTGTATGCCTTTTGGCGGCACGGCCTCGGTTTATGCATTTGCCCGCACGGCAATGGCTTTGCAGCGCATTTTGACACAGGTCTTTTGGGTGGTCATCACCAACTACTTGGATGATTATATCCCATTTTCTGACGTGACACTGTATTCCAAGTTTTGGGGTTCGTCCTTAGCACCAACCCCAAGAAAGACCACCCTTTTGCGGAGACCTTCACGGCCTTGGGGGTTGAGTTCCTGCTCCATGACACCCCAACCAGTTTGGCAGTCCACAACACGGCCGCTCGCTGTGAAGAGCTGCTCGCCCTCCTGCATGAGATCCTGCACTCTGATTGCGTGACAGCCCGACAATTGCAGTCCCTGCGGTCCAGGTTGCATTTCGCTGAGGCCCACATGTACGGCCGCATTGGGGTTTGTATGATCAAACAGATGGCGGTGGTGGAGGGCTTTACACAAACCTCCCCGTTGCCCCCTGCCTTGCGTGTGAGCATTCAGGCCATGATCCACCGGCTACAACACAACCCCCCGGTGGAGGTCCCCATGCTTCAGAAGGAGCCATGGCATGTCTTCACAGATGGAGCTCAGGAGGGCGAAGGAGATCACGCCAGGACCAGCATTGGGGCAGTGGTCATCAGCCCCGATGGTATGTGTCGAGCTTGCTGGGGATTCGCCCTCGGCACGGAGATCCTGGCGCTATGGCCACCTCGGCACATTTTGCATGCAGAACTCCTACCAGTCCTGGTGGCCTTGGCGGCGTGGGGAGAACATCTGAGAAATCAGCCAGTATTCTTTCATATTGACAGCGAAGCTGCTAAGCACTCGCTTATCTGGGGTACTTGCCAGCAGCGCGAGGCCCAATTCCTTGTTTCCGCAGTTTTGCAATTGGAAACCCAGTTGTGTTTGCGTCCATGGTATTCTCGCATTCCAAGTGAATCCAACCCTGCGGATGCGCCAAGCAGGTTGGAGTTTTCAGGCCTTACACAGCAAGGTTTTGATCACCAAGCGGTAACGACTCTGTGCTGGCCTTGGTTCAAGCCGCACGCGGGCGGTGACCTCGGATGAAGAAAGCGGGGTTTGAGGCCTTCAGTCACCTTTCGCAATGGGTCTAATAGAGGTTCCTTCAGGCCCCGTTTGGTGTTTGTCTGTGGTGAAAAGGAAAGCCTCATTTCACCCCTGTGATCTGAATGCAGGTTTCTGCCCGCTGTGGAGAAAAGAAGAATAGTAAAGTATTATGAACTTGATGAATGTATAAGATATAGAGACAAATGCTCACTGATAAGAATTAAGGATAGCCTCTGTTAAGATGCGACTTTAGTTCTTGAGGTGACGTTTGTTCCCCGTGAGCATTTGGCTCTATAGCTTGCACCCACACATGCATGCACAACGTGGTGGTTTGGTTTCAAATTTTTTCCCGCCCGCCCGCCCAGGTTGGACGCTTCGTGATGCTTGAGTGGCTTCTCTTGCTTAGCTTCACCTTCGGGTGTTCCGTTGGAGCGACCGTTGTGTGGTTCTTTGTGTGGGGTCGCGCGGCAGTGATTCGGACGCTGCGATGCGATGATGTGTTTATTTGCTCTTCGCGAGCTAAATGCTTTCACCTCAGTGACCAGCGTGGTCATCTTCCTCACAAGCCTAGACGGCTTCGGGTGTGCTTGGATTGTCTCAAAGACGACAATCGCCCAAATGCAAAAAGGGGTTTATGAGGCTCTCGGGTCTAATAGAGGTTCGGGCGGACCAGGACTGTGGGGAAGGCCGTGTCCAAGGGCAACGATCCATCGGGCTTGGGGATGAACTCTGCCTCGACATCTTCTGCCAGGATCCTTTGTCTGCTGCCAGGACTTGCGGGATGGAAATCGGAGAAAATCCTTTCGGGACGGCGCGTAGCAATGCCGAAGTCAATTTCTCACTCCATTTCTGGGCCACCCCATACGAGATCAGTCCAGCGATGGCCATGGCAGCTGCCCTTCGATGAAGACAAGCTGCCACTCGCAAGCCATCAGTCACGTCCACGCTTTTGACGTGATGCTGCTGGGAGACCTCCAGGGCACCAT